GCTGGTGGGTTTGAACCACCAGCCTTCTGGTTAGCAGTCAAGTGCCTTAGGCACTATGCTACCAGAGCTCCTAGAGCTCCTTATAGTAGGTACTAAATATTTATTGAGAGAAACAAAGAATAAAAGATTTTATTTTGCTTCCTTTTTTTTTTTTTTTCTCCCTATAAAGAATTATATTGGAAAAATTCCTTCCGAGGAGTGGCTGGTGGGTTTGAACCCCCAGCCTTCTGGTTAGCAGTCAAGTACTTTAGCCACTATGCTACCAGAGCTCCTAGAGCTCCTTATAGTATCCCCCTTTTTTTTTTTCCTGAGAAAAAAAGAGTCCAAAAGATTACCAGTTGAAGTCCATTCCCTGGTAAATTATAGCCACTTTCAGATCTAGGGCATATTCGGGCTAATTCCATCCCTTAGCTACAAGACCTTTTGTCATTGCCTCCTGCTGGAATCTCTGTGTCATCATTATCCATAGCTGGGACCAGAGTTTCTGCTGCCTCCAATCCTCTGTATCTTAGAGTTTGGGGACAGGGATGAGGTAGCAAGCTGAATGTTCCGTTTAGGTCTACCTGGCCTGAAATCCATTACTTCTACCTGGGGGTTTGAGGGACTGAGAAAACTATGGATCAACTATGTTTATATATTAGAGAATTAATAGTGTAAGGAGAAAGAAATGTAAAATGTGGCTTACTATGATCTTAAGATTAGGGATGGTCTCTCTGCCTCCCCATAAAACTTCGCACTGATAATACTTGAAATTCCCTTATCAGGAAACAGAGTTTTCATTTCTAATGGGAGATTAAAAACTTTAAAATATAATTAACCAAAATAAATAAAACATCGGTATGAATGAGTTTTAGTCCATGTAAAAACATCATATTGTTTCCTGTTTGGAAAGATTATGTATCAGGTGAAGAGTATATAAATAATTATATTTCCAGTTAGAAAGAGTACTAAGCACCTTATATACTTTAGCTCATTTAATCCTCAAAATAACCCTATGAGATATGTGTTATTATAGGCTCCACTTTACAGATAGGAAAACTGAGGCACAGAAAGGTGAATTGACTTAGACACAGTAACACAGCCAGCAAATAATGAAGCTGTGATTCAAATAGCTATGCCTAACTCTAAGGAGCTCTGGTAGCACTATGTTTAAAGCACTGGGCTGCTAACTAAAAGGTCCATAGTTCAAACCCACCAGTCATCCTGTGAGAGAAAGGAAAAAAAAAAAGATTAAATATCAGGGAAAGGATTAAAAAGCAAGGAGTTAACTGGTGCCATAAACTGGTGAAAACAAAGACCTGAAAGGGGAACAAAGTAAGCAAACCAGAAAAAGCAGAACAAAACACAAAATTTTCCTGTTTTACAATTTTACTTTCAACTGATTTCTTTATTTGAACCTACAGATAGTTCGTGTCTAGGTTGGCTGCTGCAAGTCATTGTAAGATCTACAAAGTAACATAAGACCAGGAAATCTGGTCCAGTTTATTGAGCAGGAAGCTCTGTCTCTAAAACTTAATACTAGGGAATATGATGGGAAAGCACAGAGATAAGAAATTTTATACATTTTAGATATACTAGCTATGGGTACAAAACTGAGGTTTCTTTTTCATTTTAAATCATATTTTTCTTGATTTAACTCTACAAGATTAGAATGTTAATTTATAATATCAGAGATTAAAAACCAATTATTATTCTCTTTATTTCCAAGAAAATAATAGCCACCATGTTTGTGTGTGTGTGCATGCACGTGTGCATGTGTGTATATTATATGTATATGTGTTCTAGAGTATCTAAAGCATTAGTAAGCTTAGAGAACCCATCCAAAGTGTCCCTAGACTTGAACAAATAATTTCAGCAGACTGGAACAGCAAAGAGGGATTACCTTCGTCTTTTCCTTAGGAATTTGATGGCTTCTGAAATCACAGTTCCATTTTCTTTAAGGATTCTAATAACATTTCATTGCATCAACTCTGTTTACAGCACAAGATTAAAATGTAGCTCTCAAATTTTAACTTACATTTATTATATGCAAAGCAAAATTAAGTAATTTTTATAATTTAAACTTTAAATCAAAAGGATAAATGTTTTGCCATCAGAGTACTTTTGTTCAAAAATGTTATTTCATTTAGCTGTCTAATCTACTATTTCCTAATTCTTGAGGATTTTTGACATTTAGTGACTTTTTTGTCTACCTCTGGAGCCCCTGGGTAGTGCAAATGGTTAAAGAGCTTAGCTCCTAACTGAAAGGTTAGAAGTTTAAATACACCCAGAGGCACCTTGGGAGACGTGATCACCCTGGTGATATACTTGTAAAAAATCAGCCACTGGAAACCCTATGGAGCACAGCTCTGTTCTGACACACGTGAGATCATCATGAGTTGGAATTAATTCAATGGCAACTGTTTTTTCCCCCAATTATCTTTAATCTGTAAATTAAGTTTCTTACCCTTTAAATGATGTATGTCTGCCATCTGATATGATATGTTGTTCTGTAATTTAACCTGAAAAAAAATTGTTTTCATTTTACTAACGAATCTGTAGTTTTGCTCATATTTACTTTCACTCATATGCATTTTGAGCTTTATCATAAATGCAAAAGAAAAACTGTGATTAAATTATTTCTACACACCTTTTCCTAAAAGAATTAAACCAAACCAGATGAAGGTGATTTTAAAATTCTGATGTTGCTTATTTTAAATCTGCACAAGAAAATTCATTTTATTTGGTATACAAGTGTGATAGCTGAAGATGTGTCAACTTGGCTGGACTCCAGTTGTGAGTGGTGGTTCCCATGATGGATCACATGACTGAGTTCTAAGCGGCCGGTCTGCCTAAGGGGAGTTTCCCCAGGGGTGTGGCCTACCTGCAATGCTATCCCAGGGACAAGCTGGAAGAACGGCATTCCGGACTATATACTTCCT